AGTACACCCAAGGCACAGCATCATATAGACGGTATCGAGCCTATGTGTGACGCGTATAACAACAATGAACAACCGTTTAATAAGGAAACCACAGAGAATCATACAAAGTTGAAAGTTGCATATTTATATTTCGTCCGTAATTTGTATGAAGATTTTATTATTTTTAATCGTATAAAGCATTTGAAACATTAAATGTCGGAATTCGTACGCAATTTCCATTGTTGATTCTTAAACACAAATTATCAAATATATTATAATTAGGAATTTGCTGTAACCTTCGTATTTATTTCCTGTAAAAACGTCAAATGTATTTTTTATTTTCTGTAAATGTGTTTTACGCAGCGAAAACACCTTTTAAACTGCCATGATTTCGACACATGGGGTGATGAAGTTAATGCATATGCGTTTAAAACATGTTTAATATATACTGGGCCATATCAGTTAGGAAATAAATGCGTTTAAAATGCATTTTACAATGTATGGCTCAGTATAAATGCTTTTAGACATGCTTTTTTTAAATGCTTTTATAAAAAAATACGTTTAAAACACATTTATAAATAAATGTGTTTAAAGGGGAACTTCCAGTTAAGTCTAGTCTCACAACAAATTTACTTTCAGGATTAAAATTACAATGGATAACATAAGATAGAATAACAAACAATAGTGTCACATGATTCTTTAGTGCAATCCCTGGGCTTGGAAGGTTTCTCTTTAAAATGAATTTTACTGTATATGACTTAGTATAATTTTTTTTCATCTAAATCATCAATCTAAACCATCAATCAAAATGAACACACATTTTAAAAAATTATGTATAATCCGCTTTATTACAAATTAAACATTATAATTAAATCAAATGAGTTTATTTAGAATTAAATTATCTTGTACTAAATGCAAGTGGTGTATAAATACAGCCATATTCTGTCAAGCACAAAATCAAAGTTCAAAATATTGGCAGAAGATATAAAACACTAAACACATTTCAAGCCTCCCAAAATCTGACCTCTAGATCAATCAGTGGGTATGGTATAGCATGTACAATGTGTAAATACAAGAAACACAGAAATGATTATTTTTTTTTCACTGCCATACTAATTACATTGTTATTATTTTTAAAACTATGTTGCTTACAAGTGTACTTTATAATGAAGTTAAAGAATATTTCATTTTGTAATCTATGTACTTTTCTGAGATCTCCATCACCTATACAAATATACACAGTCATATACAGTCATATACAGTCATCTATTGAAAAGCGACAGACGGCTGGCAATTGCCTCAATGTCCCATCCACAGTCAGGAAAAATCCCCTGCATACGAATAGAATAACCCCAATGGATCGTATTTTTGTGAAAGATTGGCATTTTTGTCCACATTTGCAGGAATCTGAAAAACGCGTTTCACAACTTGTCTGTAATTTAATTTTATGCTGCATTCAAGATGGCGGCCCCCATATAGTAAATATCGTATTTATTTTAACATTACGTGTGCACCAGGTGACTGTGGTCCCATTCCACTGCCTTGGTGCCCTGATATATTCATTACACAGTTTCAATAAGACTAAGCTATTATGAAAATTCTGTGCCTCGACAATAAATAATTTCATAATTTCAAGGGTTAAAAACTCTTTATGATTTGACACGCATAATATTGTTGAGTATATTGTTCATTGTTGTCCCATCTATAAAATTTTCTTGCAGGGAATCTGTAAATAAAAAATATAGTCCTACCAATACCAAACATTTACTCGCTAGAGCAGAAACAAATATTTATAATTTAGGACAAAAAAAAATGTGACTTCATAATTTTCAATAATAATTTTCAAAAATCATCACAAAATAATTAGCAAGCTAAAGCATAAGAAAATATTTTGAAAGGATGTGCCCACTCCTAATTTTGTCAAAGATCCATGGTTGGATATGTGATTTCCACTTTTGGCAACCATGTGCACAGTTTAGGAAAAAAGAATCACATTAACATTTGCAACAAATAGGGCAGTGTTTAGCCATTTTTTAAAATTAAGGTAACAAATTTATGGATAAATTCTCTCCCAGTATTTTACACAAAATCTTGACACCAGTTTGGCAAAAATGAAATTCTAATGCATTCATACAATTCCGTGAACATGACTTGACATACAGCAGAACGAACACTGCAGTCAAAATGACTTTACCATTCCAAGATCAACAATGGGATTAAAATACATCATATAAACCATTAAATATGCATAGTTTGGTATTTACAGTTTACTAGTAAACAAATGATGAAAATTGATGAAAATGATAATACATTGAACGGAAATGGAAAAGAAAGCAAAAACCGTGGACATATACTTGAACGGTCACATTCACGCGACAGTGAACATTACCTTGGAAAATGACGACTGTTCTAATTGACCTTATAATCGCCATGAAAAGGTCCCTTGAAGTTTTTAGATGGAGTTTGTAGCAAACGTTGTATTATACAGGGCTATACAACTAAAATAATCAGAATTACAAACTTGAAGTCCAAATCAGGTAGAAGATAACAGTCGACGATTCAAAGTTAATGTAACGATGCTTAGACGAAGTCAACAATTAGGATGGAAACAATGAGCAAATTAGTAGATTTCCACACAAGTTTTTTTTAGTAACAAGCAGGCGACCCCTATTTCATCGCTAAGCTAGTTGTTAGTGACGTAACTTGACATCATAGGTCATAGGTCAAATGTAGACTCGCAAGTTCAACTGTACTGGGCGTTCTATGTTTATACCTTGCAGATAAAACTAATTAGTACTTATTTTACTATTAACCATGCATAAACATGATATTTCAGTGATTGAAATTTATTTTCACTATTTCCCAACATTTCGTTCACATTTTCGAATAGTTTAAAGGTCTAAATTTGTTGCTCTCAAATTTATTAGATTTTTTTTCAAATTTTCTATGTAGGCCATTCCTAATGGACAGCCTCTAATAATGAACATGCACGTTTAAAAATTAATACAATTTCTACCAGTCTCTTTTGAAAAACATTATGTAAACTAGTAGGGTTATTTTACTTTCAATTAACTTTATGGAATAAATGGAATGGAATAGAATAAATGCATTTCAAATGTATTTTTGTGAAGTTATACACTTAGTCATGCGCTCAACATGCTAGATTTGCAGACTAAGATAAATTAAATGTATTATACATGTATTTATATTGCGTCGATAAACTTTCTTTTAGTCAGCAAGTGTTATTATACCAAACAAACAAAACGTGTTCAAAATGTGTTTTGTGGTTTATACTCGAGTTTTCATGAATTTTAAACGCCTTTTCAACACATTTAAAATTCATTCGTTTCTGATTCGGTTAGAGCATTGAGAAAGAGAAGGCGCACATGTTCAACACTGCAATAAATGTAGGACCAATAACTGAACATTTACATGATCAGAAAAGCCGTATAGTCATGCATCACTCTGTTATTATTTATCACGTGTTCAAAACTAGTATGTTCGAATAGCACCTAGTCAATCAGCATTAATGCGATTGGCTGTTAGATTCAGTTGCTGGTACTTTTAAATTAAGTAATTCTATTGTCCCCAGTGGTACACATATAATTGACTTTTTTGTGTGAATTAAGAATAAACATTTAATCGCCGTGAACACTATTATACATCTGTCACCATAACGCCACAAGTCACAGAGTGCCGTAACTTACGGGGCATTTTTATCCTACCATACAAGGAAATGCGAATTCCAAATATGGAATGATTATGCGCGTAAACGTCCTCTAATAATAAAAACAAACTTGGCTGCCACCCGGGTTTGACCGGACTCCACACAAAGAAGTTCGCTGATTCCGTTCTAAACTTGTTGGATTCCGGCATTCCCATGATGTGTCCTTGGAAGGAAAATGTGTATAATATGTATAATAAGGTTATTACGAGGATACCTAAAAGTATGCACTCAAACAGTACACCGTCGCATCGACCTCCGATGCGCGTCGGTCGACACTGCCGCTGTACTGTCTTCGTACAGAAATTGTCTGCGTACATTTAAAGACAAAATGCCTTGCAAAGTTTGGATAGAGAAATGTCAACACAATTACTAACCAGTGTGTAGTTAGACGTTTTAGAGTCCATATCTGACTATAAAATTCCCATAATCCATGATAATTCTGACGTTACACTAAACAATATTGCTTACGTCAGATATGCTGTCAATGCAACCCTGCATTTTGAGATGGAGGATCTCTTCGAGACTGTTACAATTTAAAATAGTTTTTTGTGTATATGCGAGATTTCGCTATTACCTGTTACGCAACTGCAAATGATACTATACGATGTTTGTATAACGATCTACGGCTGGGCGTATTAATATTTCCCCTTTACTATTGTTTCATGAACAATTTACCATTTTCGGTTTCATTTCAGTTCAGTTCCCTTGCGCCTTTTTGCATTGTGTATAATACAGTTTCTACGGCGGTTAAAATGTAATTTAAGAATTGCTTTATGAAACTAAAAAAAAAAACATTTTTCAACGATCAGCTTAGAAACTACATCAAGTAAAATGAGCCAGGTAAATTGATTCAAAGAGTTCAAAATGCCATTTTTGAGATTTCCCGAATTGTTAGAAATGTCTGGTCGTCATTTACATCAATATCCAAATTCTTTGCTCCAGACAAACATTTACATCGCTAATTATGTTGTGTTGTTCACAAGAAACTCCGTTTATTCACTATTCGTCAAGTAGAGTCACCCATTTCATTCCAATTGGGACATAATTAAAATAGCTTGGAACATGGATTGGCATAAGAAATCTAAATTCTCTTTTTGCCAATTTGCTAATAAAACTCCGAATCGGCGTTCAGAAACTACTGGTAGCACTTAGCAAATCAGAACACGCACATTACAAAGAATAATGCTATTTACTCTCAATTGGTGAAATTCAAGATACAGGAAAAAAAAACAACGATTTTCATGTCAGCAATTCATGAAGCAGGATTTGGATTCACTTCGGAAGGATTGGCTGTCAAGAATTCCCATTATGACGTCATCAAGTCGTGCTACTTATCTGAAAAAAAATGCAAGTAGAGTTCGAATACTCAATAAGCCTGATAAGCAATAAAAATGCGATTGGTCTGTGCATGACCATGTGACCTTCCAGTTTGAGTACATTTTAGTTGGCGGTGTACGAGGATTTAGAACGATTCCTTAAATATTACTACAATTGTCATCACTTTGGGCGGGGTTTCGGGATTTCATTGCGATACAAATACAACTGCCAATTTTGAATCGTACAAACACGCATGAATTATTGGCTGAAATTAAATTATGTAAATGTTTACCATTACGAATCGTGTCCATAATCCATGATAATTCTGATGTTACACTTGTATACACAGCTGGAATTAAACTTCCACACTTGCCAATGAAGAAGGAAATAATACCTGCCAAATACCACCGACCATCATCTTTCTGGCAAACCAACGAGCTACCAGTGTCCAGAAATGTTAACTTCCATCATAACAGTTTTTTTTATTCGTATGATGATAAAAACAAATTACATGACAAACTAATTTATATCCGTTCATTAATATATATTAAATAGATACGACTAGGTTCGAAGAATTCATTAGTACTCACTACAATAAATGTACTTTTTATATCGTTTAACAAAGCCTTTTGTATGAGCTAATAGATCAAGCAAAATAATTTAGAACTGGGAACATTTTGTCTGTTTTTGTGTCATTCAAAATATTGTCACAAAAATAAAAACAATATCGCGATTAATCAAAATTGGACATTTTTGCATAAATTTATTATAGGTTCATTTATATTGTTCTGTTTAGGATAGTAACCAATGCAAACCCAATATGATAAACAACAGAAGATTTGAAAATAAACAACTAATCTGCATGATCACTAGTTTTATACAATTTTCAAATAGCCTAACATATTTAATGTCAAGTCGAACTTTTATGGATTGATATTTATTTGAAGGCCTCATTAATTTTGTTAATCACATACAGCTATGTATGTTTCAGGTCCTAAAACATTCCGTGTGTTCCACAGAGCATAGTTCATATGTATATGTTCCCTATATCAGCGATGTGTAAAACAATGTAAATTGTTATCAAAAGTGCCTACAAGTTTAATCGGATTTGTATTGCCATTGTTGAATGCCACAGTTTCTCGATAACCCTAATTAACCCTAATTGTCTATGCAAAATGAGGGAAATTAAGGATGCACATTTCCGACTGAAGGTCATTTAAATACAACATCAGCTTGTTTAAAACTATGTCTAAAAGTGGCACATACGGTGTATACATCGCATTGGACTAGTATCTTGGTGAGACGACTGTCATGGAGTGTTAATTCGAGTATGAGTCATTGTAATATATTGCTCAGTCACCAATTCGCAATTTATCTTAGATTAATAGTGCCCAAATAATAAATCATAGCCTGCATAGACAACATACTTTTATTTGATGTATAATAGAGCATTGGAGAGCCGAAAATATTTCAACTAAAATACAGATGAATCTTAGTTATATTTACCAAACATGGTCCGGTGACGTTACCTTGATACGATACACACAATCTGTTGTCCGGGATGAGGAGGTTAAACATTGAAAAAACAAACCTACAAATAGCTTTATTAATGATCACCATTTCCGCTTCTTGTAGATTCGTCGCGTATTCTTCTAAAATAGAATAAAACAATTAGGCATGTAATCAGTGTGTACTCAATCAGATAGATAACTAGATTACGTCATACTTCAGCAAATGCATCAAACAGCCGAGTTGTGGAAGCTGCTGGTGTATTGATGCTACTGCTGTTGATGGCGGGTGGTATTGGAGGTGTGAATCATAGTGGTTGGTTGTTAGGTAGTTGTCGTTGGAGAATGTGTGGATGCTTGAGTATTGTGCTGGTAACGTAGGTTTTTAGATTGTGGGCCGAATGATTGTAATGACAGTACTAGTGTTGGAGATTAGTGATTGGTTTGGCAAAATTGCAGCATATTGAAAAACTGTTTCCTTCGAGTTTGGAGTTAATATATAAACAATAGACAATCATATTTTAGGATAGTCTCCCAGCAAACATTTACAAGGATACATTGATTTTTTTTAATTGCGAAAAAAAATTGGAAATGAGACATTTCCTCCGACAAAGCTTCAAGGGATTAGGGATCAGCTTCAACTTAAATGGCTGCACATTTCCGTATCACATAATACATTTCGATCGATGACGTCACGTGCGTTAAGCCAGTGTAAGTGTCCAATGAAAAATGAAATTATACACAGTTGAGATTGTTAAATTGTTTCCATGGTAAACTTACTCGTATTCTCATAAATAGTTTATAGTGCGTAAGTCTGACAAGACAGTCAGGTTCAATGACGAAAATACTCACGATTGTCACCCAGTTTCCCCCAGCCAGTTATAAAACACGTCTTGCCTTCCGGGAAAAAATCTTTGTTTTCAGTCGTCGCCATGCACACTGGTCTAACGTAATCGTTGAAGGGTAAAGTCGACGGTGTATGTAACAAAGCAAGATCGGTCGAAATGTATTCCGGATGCAAATGAATAGAATCGACTCCGGATACATGTAGCTGTAGAGGGGCAGAAAACTCGAACTGCGAAACATCAGCGAGAACTGGGGGGTCCGACTCATAATTGTACCTGGGAGAAAAAAAGCAGGATTTTGTTTAGCTTATTCTTATTAGCGTATTCTTATTAGGATTTTGAATGAAATGCAATACAGATGTTAAATAATCCAAGTCTTTGGCGAACTTCACCAGTTTCTAGGTCTGTTTCTCATAACTCTAGATACATGTTGCAATCGCTTAACTGGCATACCTTTTAGAAATCGTACGATACTAATACTTACATGCACTTGGCAGAAGACATCACCCAGTGCTCATCAATGATTATCCCGCTACAGTTATGGGAATCTTCGACGTACAGTACCACATCCCATGGCCAGTTTCCCAGGGTAGCGTCGCTGCCCCCCACTATACGGTCATTGGCAGGTGTTGTGCCGCAAGCAATTCGTTCTGTGAGATCGGATGAGTATATGCGCCGGTGAGATGAGTGGAATCAAAGCGGGATTCAAATTTGAATTTTTAGATGCTCTGAGGCCAAATGTTGTCAAACAGATTAAACGTCGTTGTTGAAAGCAAACGCATTTTGCCTCAATTTGGCGATTACTTATTTATGAAGGCAATTACTCGAAATCTGTTGAAATTCGCATAAGACAAATTGTAGTGAATTTTTGAGTCAGTGAAAATTTCGAAATTTAGTAACAATGAAATAATATTGATGACTTTTTGCAATTTACACCATGCGTCAAACCCTATGACGATCACATTTATTTATCAAAATCAACCTAGTTAATTGAAAGAATCCATGGCAACGCTATCCGAACGCCGTTTAGCATTACAACCAACTAAATCCATGCCGCACGTAATCAACTGGAGATTGCAAATGTGAGTTGTATGGCCGTAACAATAAAAATGTTCTGAATGCGATTGAATTATCGTGGCGTCCAGAATGAGCGTGGTTATATCCCTAGAAGTTATAGCTATTTATATTGATATCCCATGTTGTACAAACCCTGCGTTGCCATGGAAAATTACAACCTGCCACACGGGTTCGAACTACAACTCGAAATAATGATTCATCTTACCTTCGTGTATTGTGTTGTTTACCCAATCGATTATCATAGCAACTGGAGAATAGTTTAAGTGATTGGCCGAGCTTTCTTCCCATTCCAGCAATCCAGTGAGATACCATTGATACACTCCCGTTAGACATACCAGTGAACTGCCACTGTCGCCCTAATCAAGAAAACAAAACATATTAAACATGTTTTTCAATTAACAGAAACAGAATTCAACTTTTATTTTGTTCGAATATTTTATTTATTATATCATGCATTTTCCAAAAGGTTTGTATATTTGGCAAATTCACAGTGAAAGGCAGACAACAAAAGCTTTGATGACGAACGTATTTAAATATAATTGTTGAACTAACGTTGATGGCACAATACCAATTCAGGATGGGGCAGTTTAAATACTAACATTTTGATTTATTCGTATTTTATTTAAAATGTATTTTACCAGAGGTACATTACTTGGGGGTTGCAACTACAGCGACATGATACCAAGATCCCGTTACAATCTCACTCTCGCATAAGCGTTCCAACTCAGAGAAATGCGAATGCGCATGCCCGAGGTAACTGGGATGTCCAGGTGGATCGAAATAGCTGCTCACGATATGACGGATTACGATAACTATATTTTCTGTACATTTTCGATGTATTACATTCTTTTCACTATGAATGTCGTAATACATGTTTTATTGTTTTATTACAAACCGCCTATGTCATGTCAGAAGGTAGTAGCACCAGTCTCGCTATCTACGAGATGAGACTTGAATGGGATCTTGGCATGATGATATGGTGAATACAGTACTATGTGCGTTGCAAATCCCAAGTAATGTACCTCTGATTTTACTTAAATATATTTCTATGAATATTTTGTTTATAATATCCACACTATTATGCTCTTTATTGTACGTCATGTATTTTTGGCACATTGAATACAGGATGGATATCGACTCTGGTCAATTACAAAATATAGTAAGGAACATTCCTGGGGAAGCTTTTAAGTGTGCGCCGAGTGATGAACAGTCAATCTACAAAGAAACAATCAGTAGTCACAGTCAGTTGTTTATGACATCTAATCGTAGTAATCGAGCATCGTGATTACTTGTATCTTCCTAATTCATGACTTGGACGTTATACATTTGAAACTGACACACTTACAGCGTATACCGTCTTATTACTTCCATCATCGTGTTCGACAATGCACATTGATGATTCCGTGTTGCTGCAATTGTCTGTTTTGTGTAGGATAACTTGTTGAAGATGGTTGTAATATTTCGTACCTTGAACAAACAAGAGCGTAGTATACTATTAACTAGCGTAGCACTGATTTTCAAATACTAAGCCTGTCATATTCTACCAAATACTACTAACATACAAATGTAGATTGTCACAAGAAACTAGCTATATTCAATCACATATTACTCTTGCAATTCACCGAGTAACAATTCAAGATCAACCTGGGAAATATACATTGAATCAAGTGTGTAGTGTAACATCAGTTGACATTGGGTGGTTTGCTATTAAATTATAATTTAACAAAATTAAACATATTTCCTAAGTTATCGCGATGTACCACCTTCATTTTGAGGTCTGATAATTGTTACAGCAACCAATAATGTAGTTTTAATTACCGTTATTGGAAACAAGTTCCCATCCAGTGATGGCACACTCATCAGAGCTCTCGCTTTCTGGTGGTGGTGGCGGAAGACACACAGGACGAATGTATTCAGTAAAAGTAAGTGGCGAGTCAAAATACATCAATGCGAAGTCCCATTCTCTGCTTGGAGGATCGTTCAAAGGATGCACCTCGATGTAGCTCACTGGAGACTCCTGGGCAGCTGGCGTCCCGGAGATAGTAGATATACCCATCTTCACGATAAAGGAATCTACTCTAGGCTGGTAGCCGTCTGGATCAAATCTGCAAGGTTCAACAAAGGGGTAAATAAATTTGACAAGTAAATTAACAATGTGACAGTCAAGTTAACCACTGTGTAGCTCAAATTTTACTTTTAGAGGAAAACAACTACTTCAACAACTACTTCAAGTCGCATTTCTGACCATTATGTAGCGACGAGCTATTAATGTAAACTATTATTTCAATATTTCTCCGAGTAAAAAAACACAAAACTAATAATTTGTTTTTTGAAATCAAACTATAATCAGAATTACCACAGATAAAAGGGAGTCTCCAAAATTACGCCGATTCATCTGCACAGGTATTGATATGATATCGTTACAACAAATTGTGTCAGTAAAAAAGAGCTTGTTAAATTACTAACATAAAACATACTCTTTAGATCAAATGGCTGCATCACGCAAAATATAATACAGGGTGCTAACACAATACAACACACTAGGTGAAATGTGTGATCCTCAGCAGCATTTGATCCGAATTCTACTTTTTCCGAGAGGTGGGGGTGGGGGGTAAAATACTAACATGGTTCAGAAATTATTCATGCACCAGGCAAGGGGTCACTTTTATAAATAAACAATGATGAAAATGAGTGGTAGAAGTAAGATTAAATAGGTTGGGCTTTTATATATATACATATTTAATTCGCTCAATTCAGCATTTATTGAACCGTAGCAACTATCACTTACACGCACTGTGCCGATGTCAGGATCCAGTGTTCATTGACGATGGCTCCGCTACACGAATGGTTGCCCTCCTTTTCTATATTCACTTGCCATGGCCAGCTTTCCAGAGCAGCGTCTGATTTACCGACCAAGTGATCTGGTGCAAGTGGGCGAGTACCGCACAAAATTGGTCCTGTAACAAGTAAATGTGTACCAGAAGTTTCAGATTTGTAGAGTATAGCAGCCACGTGAATGCGTGATATGTAATAGGAACAAGAGTCGGGAGTGAGCCGATAGTAATCGACCGCATGAATTGATAACCATAAAAATGCTTTCCCGAAATTACTAGGTCTAAAATTTGATTCTCGCCTTGCACACGCACTTGAAGGATAAAAATAAATGCAATATAGACAATGATCAATTTGAAAACGTTGTGTTAATAATGTCATGCACGGCATGTATCGTGTATATACCGCTATAAAATCGTATTGAACACAATCAACTTTTAAACACACTATCAAACTAATACACGTCACTAGTGTTTTCTATGTTGCACAGAAGCGACATGCGTTTGTTATTCAAAGGGAATGTCAATCTTGTCTGTGTCACTCGGGTCGCATTCCTAATTCACTACATTCAGTTTTACTACGCCAACATATACATCAACTATTCCATTCACCATTTGTGTTACTTTGACTAGGTTTTTTTTACTCGCAAGTGTAACTTGGCAAAATGTTCTACCAATATGTTCTTTTCGCCCTTTTTCGAAATCGTTTCTTACAGTCTATCAATTTCTGAAAGCACATGATATGCGACCCATACAATGTGTGTACGACTAGAGTATCACCAAATAAGCATAAAATACCATCATTAGTCACGGTTATTTTGCAGTCAGTGCAAACTTGAACAAAATACAAGATGAATATCGGCATATTTCATCAAACCCATCATTGGTTATTTTGTTCAGATATTTACTACACAATATACAATGTTTGATGAATGTTCTAAAAGTTGTCGATGGACTACAACCAAGTAGTAGCATTGGGTATCATACATATATGCATTCTAGACCTTTCTGTTGAAAACCCTACAATTATCTGTCGACAAACTGTCGAAGTCGGTATCAGTCGATGAAGAGCAGTACTACAGTACTATAGGTAGACTGTGAGAGACGTGTTAATTGACAGTCGTCCTAACAAAAATGACAGGTTAGGACTCATTGCGATATTTTATATCCAGAAAAAATCCCGGTGTATAACTCGACGAAAAGAACACTAGTTCAGAGTGGGTAAATATAAGCCTCGACTAGAGTTTTACGAGACTGTCAGAACATGCGCAGCTGCACAACTATTTCATCAGGAAGAGTGCCTGCGATGTACGAGGACATGACCGTGCCGAGAGTCCATCGTGCATTACAATTGAACAATAAAGCCAAATAAAGTCGCAGCAAGAGCACGAATTGTGTAGAATAGAAGGAATTTTATTCTACATTCAGGCGATTAGATTTCTGATAAGGATTTTGAGAGGTTTTACTTAAATTGAATATCGCTGTACTGGTTCAAAATAAGCTTGAATTCGTCATTGTAGTTACCAGGAATGGAATGGAATGCTTACTCGAACAGTGATGGCGTGGATGAAAAGTTATTTTTTGCGGCGAAAAAAATAAATAAAAAGCACAAAATTGATCGACGAATACAACAATATTGCAAATAAAAGATATTTCATCGAGCCAGTAGTTTTATGATACATAAGCAACTACAAAAAGAATTGTTTAAACGTACCTGTAATTTCGCATAGGAACTTCTTTTGTTTTTCACAGCTAGAAAACGCCCACTTGTAATCACCAAGACCGGCAAGTGACCTGCACACAGATATGCAGATAGATTCGATTATTTTAGTTCAATATATGCGTTTTTATATCCACACAAGATTATGATTAAAGTCATGTTTAGTTCTACACAACCCAGACAAAAGGGCTTCCATATACAGCACAAATGTCAGGTCAAAATTCATGAGGACAGGGATCCCCCTCACATGCACGTAGTATGAAAACAATACGAGACATTATGATGGATACATTTTTTTAGCATTTTAAAATAATTGTGTTTGATATTAAATTTTCATCTGGAATATGATTTTTTTCTGAAATTGAAATATCGTTTTGGCAGCCAACATTTCAGTTTTCATCAAATAATAAAACTAAAGCTGACATGTAGCATGAAGATTGAATTTACTATTAATAGCCATGGCGCGTGACGTCATTCTTGAATAGTCGTATTGTTTTACAGTGAAAAACATGTACTCACTTGACAACTCCACAGTTGAATCTGTCGTTGTTATTGGATAACGTTCCATGATACCAGTCGTCCACAAACCCCAACAACAGAGTACCATCTGTCCATCGTAACTTGTAGTCCTCTTTCCTGTCGTTCAATCCTATCCAATATTCTCCTTTGACATTAGCGCCTCTTAATACATTCTCATAGATGTCGTTACGCTCTTTTGTTGATGGCTGGGCCAACTTTCCGCCTTGCATCACGCAGTACGCCTGTGCATCTGGCCATGATTTTTTGTGTGGTACAATCATGATGTCAAAATCTTCCAGGGATATTGTTTGAGTTACTAGAAGGAGAAGAATGAAATATAACTATTCATTTTATTTGACAGATACAGACACTTATTGTCTGGTGAGAGGAGAGATTGATTGTATGCGCTATGCTAAGTAAAACGCATACGTTGTAAACGTATGGTGATATCAGTGCTAAAATTAGTTTTTTTCGAATTGTTTGGGTATATTATCATTAAGTTGACAATGGTATATTGGTCTTTGCATTAAATCCATATCAGGTTGGTACTGTATTGACATTTTATAGAGTCATGGGTTAACTGACCATAAAAAAAGCAGTAGAATTATTTTCTATTGAAGATTGGGAGGGAGGGGTAGAAAAATTGCATATTCACCTGATAACGCCTTCTTCGTGATTACCTATATGCAAATAAAACGTACATATTTAATTGATTTTACACAGTTGGAGACAATTTAATTTCTGGCCCGAGATTGTGGTTGCATGATACGGGGTTCTCCATGCAATGCGCGACTCAGTTCTAACTGAATGTTCAAACTATCTCAGTCAGTAAATTACGTTTGTAACAAGAATATACACGATAATGTAACCTACATTAATCGACGTAGTTACTCGTGGTTAAAACAAGGACGACAAATGGTGGTGACCTATGTGATAGAATGTTTCAAACTTTGCACATGATTAAACTAAATGAACTGTTAATAGCACTCACCCGTGACTCGATTGTACGTACACATGTTGCTAAAACAAGAACAGCTATTGCAATCATGGCTATAACAAAACTCAGAAGAAAAAGAATATGCGTACGTCTGTTTCAAGAGTCCAGCAGATATTCAAATTAGGTGCAACGGAAGTCGCTGATCTCGACACTGACAGAACACAGGTGCACCTGTTTATTTCAAATATGCAAAAGTCCAAATTGTAAGAAAAGTAAGAATTGACATAACACAGCGTTGTAAGCGGAGTCGGCTGATATTCGATTGCATCAATCAAACCAATCCACAGCACGTACTTTCTAGCAAAACTACGCAAAACAACGCAATTCAGACGTATGTTTTGGTGAGAGGTGGTACATTGAGCCGCCATGTTTATGTCGGCAGTCTATCGTGATATCCAGTACAATTGCAGGGAACATTACATGGGTGAGTGACTCGTGCAGTAACATAGACAAAATCAGAATTCGAGTGAATCCTCGGAATTAGATTAAGATACCGTTTACAATTTACAACTAATTTACTAATGCTATTTTTTTTATTTTATATAAATGTTTGAGCTCATCTTTTGTCATCTTTGCGTCCGCTTAACCGGGTAAACGTGGTATTCCCCAAATATAGATTTGACATTTGAAGATTGATATACAAGATTCGGACAGTATTTTTTAGGCATTAGGATTATGGTAAAGGATTAGGTGGGTATACTATGTATTAAGCTATAAATCTCAAACCGATTGGCAAGGTGCGCATTTATTTAAATTGATTTTATTATTAAATTAATAATTGGTAAAATCTTATATCTTAAATCTCAAGTAGCGCCAGGTAATCGTGTATGCTTAAATTTTGTTATAATTCAGTCTACTGATTTGATGAGTGTAGCTACGAATTTGAACATTCCATAATTACTAGAAATATAGAACTCATAATAGTACTAATGATATATTTTGTATTACGTACCAGGAATCCACAGAGCAACCCGATTTTGAATATGGTGAGTACTTTAATTCACGCTATCTAGCTGTGATATCATGTCTCATTTCAGCATGTTCTTACCAGGGCGTTCGGTAGCAAATGTTGTTTTCAGCTTTAGTACTCTTAGTGCTTTCAAACGGAAGCGTAAATCTTTGTTGTTATTAAAATCACTACGCGTACTTAATAGATGACACCTTGTTAGTGGCATATCTTACACGTTTTTGGTTTTAGATAGATTCTAAATTTGTGTGATATGTCAGCTAAACAATGATATGATATTTGGGTTTGAATTATGATTAAACATGTGTACCAAATGTAGATGAGTTTAGTTGTGCATGTCTGTGTTTACAGTTAATTAGAGAATGAAGATTATTTTAAGCATATTTTGTTGATCATTCCTCACTGACAATTTATCATTACATATTCATTGAATTCTATATATGTTTGACACTACTCTCGAACAGAATCGTGGATTATCCGCATTAAATGCGCAGATTTTTCTCAAACTTTTAAATTTACTTCTGTCAGGATTAGCTTCGACGTTTTGATTCGATTCTGAATTGAGATGTGTTATAACAGAAGCAAACCTAACACAATTGCCAACAATGTGTAATTTATTCACAAAATTCAGAAGAATTACACGTGATCTAGCACTATACACGAATTCATATCAATTAACTCAAATACAGTTATATGCATAGTATCCAATTGAATTGTTGGCAAGATCAGACACACAGTGCATTATAAACGCTTGGCAAAAACAAATTTCTGTTAAACTGACACTGATGTCGAATTAGGTAACAAAGTTTATGCACGGGCATACCCATCGCTAAGTGAATTTCACCATAATCGAATTTATCGTACGTCGTTTACTAACCAGGGTCTAAATTAATCTCTCTCGATTCGAACGACTTCAAAATACAGTTGGTATCGACGAAAATGTCATGGTACGCAGCGCAGGAACATTGCAATACGATGAATGGAATCTTGCACAGCCATCAAGTGACATGAAATACGCAATCTATAAAAAAACTGGATGAAACAATTTATTATTCGACAAATGTGTTGGATAGGGCTCAACGACAACTATATTGAAGGCGAACCTCAGTGGGCTGATGGAATAATGATGGAAAACATGGACTGGATGAAAAGGTGGAAATCCGGCAACAATGTAAAGAAAGATTGCGTCATGGTCCAGTAAGACTGTCTTCTGATTGTAATTCATTTGTTTAGTTGGATTTGAGTTCCTTTATATTATTTTAGTCATTGAGCGGAATATATCAACTTTATTGATTTCGATGAAAAATTGATTGGTTAGATCAAAAGTGTTTGTGTGGAAAGACAACCACAATGCGTTCTATAGCTTAATTTATATAGATGTACTATATTTAGAATTGTACGAGTTCACTCTTGTTCCCCAGTTAACTGCGACCCGCTGAAATTTGAAGAAAAAGCATTATTCTGGATCCTTGTAAGCCGAAACCGATGTTCGAATAATCAAGAAATAAATCCAAATAATCTGCAATGTTTAGACGCCCGAAATTCATTAAAATGGTATCTTAACGTTTACTAATTTTCCCCGCAATTAGCACAAATTCAGTCTCACAATCGTGTAGATTTCAGAAAGCTCCCAATTATAATAATAGTTTGATGTTGCTTTGTAATTAGCGTCTATGATTTTCATTCTATTGTACTCGCACAAGGTAATGTTACAGTATTTTTCAATTCCCCGTATATATAATTTCTCCTGAAATATGTCGTTTGATTGCATGCGTTTTCTTTTGTTTTCTGTGCAGATCCTAATGACTGTGGCTATCGTCCACCTGTCACCAGTCGAATAGTCGGCGGTACAAATGCCGCTCCTGGATCATGGCCTTGGCAGGTGTCTCTACTGTTTCGCAACAAACATCGGTGCGGCTGCGTCATAATCGGTGATCACTGGATCGTCACTGCGGCTCACTGTCTGTGAGTCACTATTTATAATGGCGATAGAGAAGGGATAATTTTACACAAGCTAATTCTATGTTAGATTAACTGAGTGAAATTGTATTTGAATGACAATTCCAACCTATCCACCATACAGAAATTACACCCTGAGTAAATGTTGGTAGACGAATGTATTGTAACAGGGAGGGGGTTGGGAACGCGACTAAATACACGCGTAGGGGTAAATATAATGTTAAATAACAGTTACTACTAGTTATAACAAGTGTCATTGCTGTATGTTTATGAGTTCTCGCGTGATTTCTCTCCCTCCAGAATAGATCGCTACAACACAGACCGGTTGGAAATAATGGCAGGTTCCACAGCTTTATCCGGGTCTCACTGGGAGTATCGTTACCCCGTCGGATACATGAGGGTTCATCCATTTTTTGGGTTGAGGCGCAAAGAAGACTGGGACGTTGCTCTCGTGTATGTAGATTCTCCGATACCGTTTAATGTGAACATACGACCAGCGTGTTTACCTCCCTTACGAAAGGATAATTTCTTTGATCCCGACGGCAGAGATTGCGCCATCACTGGCTGGGGAGCGCTTTCACAATCTGGTGAGTAATATTTATCATCGCTAATATCATGGTTGTGATGTCTACGCTTACGCTGCTTGTCCAATTTTGCGCGTGACTTCGCTAGTCGTATACGCGACTAGTAAAATATGTAACTTCCCCGTTATCTCAAAGAATCGCTCCACGATTTATGTAGAAGCCCACTGACAATGTTTGCAATTGTGGTTGAAATGGTTTGGCAAAACTAAAACTATAATGTGAATGTTCATTTGGGTATAATAAATAATGTTATTTTGAAACTAGGGGCAAAATATTTCGTAAAAATAGTAGGTTGGGGAACCCAATAAGAAAGTATTTTTGCATGCTTAAAGGGTCGTCGCGCAGCGCGTGTTCGAATTTGTTTTACACGCGTTGTGTACGTCGCTACGAGTCCCATGTCGAACAGAACGCGGTGCGACGACCAGTCCTTTAAACTGTTTCTACCAAAACAGATTTAAAACAGAAGATATCCACTTTCAGTCACCGAAGTCATGACATTTCTTGAAAAATGGTATGATATTTGTCGACTTTGTGTAGAGATAAAAAAACTTGCTGAATGGATAATGTTGAACTGATAATAATATATCAATAACATTACATTTTGTCCATGAACTATATACTAGATGTGACAGTCTCCGAGTTACTCCAAGATGCGGTGGTGGAAGGGACTGACTGATTCTATGATGTGTGCAGGGTATCCCGGGTATGCTATGTAAGTATGACCGCTTAGAAATTCGGGCTGTTGTTTCTGTCCATATTACGCTCTTAATGTAATATAGCTATATGTCCCCAGGTCATGACGCAGTCAAATAATGTGTAGTGTTCGTTGAAGTAGCCGAAAAATAAGGATCGAGTACATAAACTACAAGAGTATATACCAAATCTATCTACCACCGGTTGACACATTGTTATGTCTACGATACTTAATATTATTCAGGATATATGAAAGCATCTCTCCTATAAACTGCGCCCTCTAGCGACGAAGTACCTCTATGACGTAAACACGAAAGCCACGTTTTGATTTGTAGTTGTTCTCCATAAAGATGATTTCATTATATCCGAGACGGCGAACCACTACACAGCCATAGTTGCCGATGTGAACCATATTGCTTTCATCTAAGTAGATCTAGATGGCGCAACCGTACAGATAGATAATAGGCGATATTGTGAGTGGCGTTTTAGTATTGGTTGTTAAGGTGAACACTTGACTATACTTTACATGGATGTCTTCTCAGGGAGACAGTGGTGGTCCTTTGATCTGTCAGATGGAAGATACAAGATGGTATCTCGCTGGTTTGACTAGCTGGGGAATGAGGTGCGCTGATCCCTATTATCCTGCTGTATATTCTCGTATCACGGCGTCCAATGATTGGATACAGGCTGCAATGGAAGAAGGTGACAACAATAATAACTTTGTGACGTCAGTGACACGTACTGGTCAAGCCTCATTGATCCCTGAGGTTGTGGTCAAAAACGGATACTTCATTTGGAAGTGTTGTATGAGTGCGCCAATGAAAATACATTCAGCACCTACAAAAAAAAAAAAAAAAAAAAAACGCTGGAAAGCCTAAAATCCTGTTTCAGTAAGAAAACCTTTCGTAACGTACCTAATAAATGATAAAACAGTCATTTATTATAGATCAGACAAATATATTTTTCGCAAAATTGTCTGAAAGTGGTGTCTATTTTCGCGGGAGACGTGGGCATCTGGAGGTACTTATCGTATTATCAGGGGAGTATTATCCTGATAGTTATACTACCCCTACGAG